TACATCCCACAGGAGGACCTCTTAGCTTACCCCCATATCCTAGCCTCCCTATAGCTCCCCTTCTATTAATGACAATCCTCCTCTAATCTCCCCTTCCCAGAAGAAAATAAGCAAAGAAATCTCCAAGGGACCACAAAACCCCGCAGACTATCGGTTATGTCCCCTTCAAGCTGTAGGGGGAGGGGAATTTGACCCAACCTGGGTACATGTCCCCTTCTCCCTCTCTGATTTAAAGCAGTTCAAGGCAGACCTGGGGAATTTTTCAGATTATCCTGATAGGTACATAGATGTCCTACAGGGGCTAGGGCAAACCTTCGACCTTGCTTGGAGAGATGTCATGCTACTGTTCGATCAAATCCTGGCCTTTAATGAAAAGAATGCGGCTTTAGCTGCAGCCCAAGAGTTTGGAGATACCTGGTATCTTAGTCAAGTAAATAACAGAATGACAGCCGAAGAAAGGGACAAATTCCCTACCGGTCAGCAAGCCATCCCCAGTATGGATCCCCACTGGGACCTTGACTCAGATCATGGGCAGTCATAAACATCTGTTGACCTGTGTTCTAGAAGGCTAAGGAGAATTAGGAAAAAGCCTATGAATTATTCAATGACGTCCACCATAACTCAGGGAAAGGAAGAAAATCCTTCTGCCTTCCTCGAGCGGCTATGGGAGGCCTTAAGAAAATATACTCCCCTGTCACCCGAATCACTCGAGGGTCAATTGATCCTAAAATATAAGTTTATTACAAAATCAGCTGCAGATATCAGGAGAAAGATCCCAAAACAAGCCCTGGGCCCTGAACAATATGTGGGAGGCATTATTAAATCTGGCAACCTCGGTGTTCTATAATAGGGACCAAGAGGAACAGGCCCAAAAGGAAAAGCCAGATCAGAGAAAGGCCGCAGCCTTAGTCATGGCCCTCAGACAAACAAACCTTGGTGGTTCACAGAGGACAGAAAATGGAGCAGGCCAATCACCCGGCAGAGGTTTTTATCAGTGTGGGTTACTAGGACGCTTTGAAAAAGGTTATCCAATGAGAAACAAGCTGCCCCCTATTCCATGTCCACTATGCTGAGGGAATCATTGGAAGGTGCACTGCCCTAGAGGACGAAGGTTCTCTGGGTCAGAAGCCCCCAACCAGATGATCCAACAACAGGACTGAGGGTGCCCGGGCAAGCGCCAGCTCATGTCATTCCCTCACGGAGCCCCGGGTACGTTTAACCATCGAGAGCCAGAAAATTGACTTCCTCCTGGACACTGGCGTGGCTTTCTCAGTGTTAATCTCCTGTCCTGGATGACTGTTCTCAAGGTCAGTTACCATCCGAGGAATCCTGGGACAGCCTGTAATCAGGTATTTCTCCCACCTCCTCAGTTGTAATTGGGAGACTTTGCTCTTTTCACATGCCTTTCTTGTTACGCCTGAAAGTCCTGCACCCTTATTAGGGAGGGATATATTAGCCAAGGCTGGAGCTATTATCTACATGAATATGGGGAACAAGTTACCCATTTGTTGTCCCCTACTTGAGGAGGGAATCAACCCTGAAGTCTGGACATTAGAAGGAAAATTTGGAAATGCAAAAAATGCCTGCCCAGTCCAAATCAGGCTAAAAGATCCTACCACTTTTCCTTATCAAAGGCAATATCCCTTAAGACCTGAAGCTCATAAAGGATTACAGGGTATTGCTAAACATCTAAAAGTTCAAGGCTTAGTAATGAAATGCAGCAGTCCCTGCAACACCCCAATTCTAGCAGTACAAAAACCGAACGGTCAGTGGAGACTACTGCAAGATCTTAGACTCATCAATGAGGCAGTAATTCCTCTATATCTGGTTGTACCCAATCCCTATACCCTGTTCCCTCAAATACCAGAGGAAGCAGAATGGTTCATGGTTCTGGACCTCAAGGATGCCTTCTTCTGTATTCCCCTGCACTCTGACTCCCAGTTTCTCTTTGCCTTTGAGGATCCCACAGACCACACATCCCAACTTGTGTGGATGGTCTTGCCCCAAGGGTTTAGGGATAGCCCTCATCTGTTTGGTCAGGCACTGGCCCAAGATCTAGGCCACTTCTCAAGTCCAGGCACTCTGGTCCTTCAGTATGTGGATGATTTACTTTTTGCTACTAGTTCAGAAACCTCATGCCAGCAGGCTACTCTAAATCTCTTGAACTTTCTAGGTAATCAAGGGCACAAGGTGTCTAGGTCGAAGGCTCAGCTTTGCCTACAGCAGGTCAAATATCTAGGCCTAATCTTAGCCAGAGGGACCAGGGCCCTTAGCAAGGAATAAATATAGCCTATACTGGCTTATCCTCACCCTAAGACATTAGAACAGTTGCAGGGGGTTCCTTGGAATTATCAGCTTTTGCTGACTATGGATCCCTGGATGCAGTGAGATAGCCAAGCCCCTGTGTACTCTAATCAAGGAGACCCAGAGGGCAGATACTCATCTAGTAGAATGGGAACCAGAGGCAGAAACAGCCTTTAAAACCTTAAAGCAGACCCTAGTACAAGCTCCAGTTTTAAGCCTTCCCACAGGACAAAACCTCTCTATATGTCGCAGAGAGAGCAGGGATAGCTCTTGGAGTCCTTACTCAGACTCATGGGACAACCCCACAACCAGTGGCATACCTAAGTAAGGAAACTGATGTAGTAGCAATAGGCTGGCCTCACTGTTTATGGGTAGTTGCGGCGGTGGCCGTCTTAGTGTCAGAGGCTATCAGAATAATACAAGGAAAGGATCTCACTGTCTGGACTACTCATGATGCAAATGGCATACTAGGTGCCAAAGGAAGTTTATGGCTATCAGACAACCACCTACTTAGATACCAGGCACTACTCTTTGGGGATCGGTTCTTCAAATACGTATGTGCGTGGCCCTCAACCCTGCCACTTTTCTCCCAGAGGATGGGGAACCAATTGAGCGTGACTGCCAACAAATTATAGTCCAGACTTATGCCGCTCGAGATGATTTCTTAGAAGTCCCCTTGGCCGGGCGCGGTGGCTCAAGCCTGTAATCCCAGCACTTTGGGAGGCCGAGATGGGTGGATCACGAGGTCAGGAGATCGAGACCATCCTGGCTAACACGGTGAAACCCCGTCTCTACTAAAAAATACAAAAAACTAGCCGGGCGAGGTGGCAGGCGCCTGTAGTCCCAGCTACTCGGGAGGCTGAGGCAGGAGAATGGCGTAAACCCGGGAGGCGGAGCTTGCAGTGAGCTGAGATCTGGCCACTGCACCCCAGCCTGGGCACAGAGCAAGACTCCGTCTCAAAAAAAAAAAAAAAGTCCCCTTAGCTAATCCTGACCTTAACCTATATACCAATGGAAGTTCACTTGTGGAGAATGGGATACAAAGGGCAGGTAATGCCATATTTAGTGATGTAACTGTACTTGAAAGTAAGCCTCTTCCCCCAGGGACCAGTGCCCAGTTAGCAGAACTAGTGGCACTTACCTGAGCCTTAGAACTGGGAAAGCGAAAAATAATAAATGTGTATACAGATAGCAAGTATACTTATCTAATCCTACATGTCCATGCTGCAATATGGAAAGAAAGGGAGTTCCTAACCTCTGGGGGAACCCCCATTAAAGGAAACCGTGGAGTTATTGCATACAGTGCAAAAACCCAAAGAGGTGGCAGTCTTACACTGCTGCAGCCATCAAAAGGAGGAAGAAGAGGGGAGAACAGCAGCATAAGTGGCTGGCAGAGGCAGGGAAAGACCAGCAGAAAGGAAGAGACAGAGAGACAAAGTGAGGGAGACAGAGGAAGAGACAGAGAGACAGAAAGTCGAAGGAAAGAGAGGAAGAGACAAAGAGGGAGTCAGAGAGAAAGAGAGAGACAAAGGAGAAGTCGAAGAGAAAGAAAGAGAGATGGAAGTAGTAAAGAAAAAACAATGTACCCTATTCCTTTAAAAGCCAGGGTAAATTTCTATCTACCCAGCCAAGGTATATTCTTATGTGGAATGTCGACATATGTCTGCCTCCCCACTAACTGGACAGGCACCTGCACCTTAGTCTTTCTCAGTTCCAACATTAACATTGCCCCAGGAAATCAAACCTTATCAGTACCCCTCAAAGCTCAAGTCCATCAGTGCAGAGCCATACAACTAATACCCCTACTTACAGGGTTACGAATGGCTACTGCTACAGGAACTGGAATAGCCAGTTTATCTACTCCATTACCCTACTACCACACACTCTCAAAGGATTTCTCAGTTTGCAAGAAATAAAGAAATTTATCCTTACTTTACAATCCCAAATAGACTCTTTAGCAGCAACGACTCTCCAAGACTGCTGAGGCCTGGACCTCCTCACTGCTGAGAAAGGAGGACTCTGCGCCTTCTTAGGGGAAGAGTGTTTTTTTACACTAACCAGTAAGGGATACTAGGAGATGATGCCCGACGAAGCCAGCTGGGCTCCTGAGTTTTGAAATCAGACAACACCTTTCAAACTCTTACACCAACCTCTGGAGTTGGGCAACATGGCTTCTCCCCTTTCTAGGTCCCGTGGCAGCCATCTTGCTGTTACTCGCCTTTGGGTCCTGTATCTTTAAACTTCTTGTCAAATTTGTTTCCTCTAGAATCAAGGTCATCAAGCTACAGATGGTCTTACAAACGGAACCCCAAATGATTTCAACTAACAGCTTCTACCGAGGACCCCTGGACTGACCTGCTGGCACTTTCACTGGTCTAGAGAGCTCCCTTCTGGAGGACACAACAACTGCAGGGCCCCTTCATCACCCCATCCAGCAGGAAGCAGCTAGAGCGGTCGTCAGCCAAATTCCCAACAGCAGTCCTGTTTAGAGGGGGGATTGAGAGGTGACAATGTGCTAGCAGCCCTCACTCACTCTCGGCGCCTCCTCAACTTTGGCATCCACGCTGGCGGTGCTTGAGGAGCTCTTCAGCCTGCCAATGCACCGTGGGAGCCCCTCTCTGGGTTGGCTGAGGCCAGAGCTGGCTCCCTCTGCTTGCGGGAAGGTGTGGAGGGAGAGGCATGAGCGGGAACCAGGGCTACGCATGGTGCTCACGGGCCAGTGCGAGTTCCGGGTGGGCACAGGCTCGGCAGGCCCCGCACTTGGAGTGGCCAGCCGGCACCGCCGGCCCTGGGCAGTGAGGGGCTTAGCACCCAGGCCAGCAGCTGCAGAGGGTGTGCCCGGTCCCCAAGCACTGCTGGCCCGCTTATGCCGTGCTCGAATTCTCGCCAGGCCTCAGTCACCTCCCCATAAGGAAGAGCTCGGGATCTGCAGCCTACCATGCGGGAGCCTCCCCGATGGGTGCTGCCTGCTGCTCTGTGGCACCCAGTCCCATCCATCGCCCAAGGGCTGAGGGGTGTGGGGGCACAGCGCAGGACTGACGGGCAGCTCCACCTGCCACCCTGGCACGGCATCCACTAGACGAAGCCAGCTGGGCTTCTGAGTTGGGTGGGGACTTGGAGAACTTTTTTGTCTAGCGGGAGGATTATATATGCACTAATCAGCACTCTGTGTCTAGCTTGGGGTTTGTGGATGCACCAATCAGCCCTCTGTATCTAGCTAATCTGGTGGGGACTTGGAGAACTTTTATGTCTAGCTGGAGGATTGTAAATGCACCAATCAGCACTTTGTGTCTAACTCAAGGATTGTAAACCCATCAATCAGCACCCTGTGTCTAACTCAGGGATTGTAAATGCACCAATCAGCACCCTGTCAAAATGGACCAATCAGCTCTCTGTAAAACAGACCAATTGGCTCTCTGTAAAATGGACCAATCAGCAGGATGTGGGTGACGTCAGATAAGGGAATATAAGCAGGCTGCTGGAGCTAGCAGCGGCAACTGGCTCAGGTTCCCTTCCGTACTGTGGAAGGTTTGCTCTTTCTTCGCAATAAATCTTGCTGCTGCTCACTCTTTGGGTCCGCACCGCCTTTATGAGCTGTCTCACTCACTGCGAAGGTCCACAGTTTCACTCCTGAGGCCAGTGAGACCACGAACCCAACCAGAAGGAATGAACAACTGCAGACGCATTGTCTTTATGAGCCGTAACACTCACTGCGAAGGTCTGCAGCTTCACTCCTGAAACCAGCGAGACCACAAACCCACCAGAAGGAAGAAACTCTGAACACGTCCAAACATCACAAGGAACAAACTCTGGACACACCATCTTTAAGAACTGTAACACTCACCACGAGGGTCCACAGCTTCATTCTTGAAGTCAGCGAGACCAAGAACCCACCAATTCCGGACCCAATCTCTCCCTTCAGGGTGAGGGTCTCATTCCCCAGCTGGTGGGAATGGCAGCAGCCATCAGCCCCTCTGAGAATGTCCCTTGGCTGGTGAGAGCTGCCCTTCCCAGGAGTTCCCTGTAACCCATGTCCAGTCAACTCAAGGACATCCCTGCTTCGAGCCCTCCTGAGGGGGCATGGGGAGCCTGCATTGCCCTCCTGCTGTTGGCTGTCCCT